GGACAAGTGAAAAGATGCTCAATTTCAGGTTCAAGATTAAGGAAAAATTGTCACGACCCGAAATTCCCACCTTCAGGATCGTGATGACGCCTAACATTTCACTTGCTAGGCAAGCCAATGTTAAAAGAATCTTAACTAATTTTAAGCAAATTTAATTAAATAGAAGTCAAATTACTGAAATAAAGTGCGGAAGACCATAAATAGCGAATTATCAAAATACATCCCCGAATCTGGTATCACAAGTGCACGAGCTACTAGAATAATACAAATAAAGGTCTGAATAAAATTTAAGCTGTTTGAAAGATAAGACACAACTAAGATAAGATAGAAGGAGACTTTAGAACTGCGGACGCTGTACAGTTATACCTCAAGTCTCCTCTGAGTAGTTGAATCCGAGCAAGTCTATAGTACGCCGCTGGGACCAACTCTAAAATCTGCACACTAAGTGTATAGTGTAGTATCAGTATAACTGACCCCATGTACTGGTAAGTGCCGAGCCTAACCTCGACGAAGTAGTGACGAGGCTATGACAAGACACGTACGTAACCACCTGTACAAGTATATACAAATACAAAGTAACAATAATACAATAAATAATAATTTATAAATTGGGAGGGAACATGCGAAGGGGAATGATATAATAATTTCAACAGGAGAAGTATCACTTAGCACCTATTTAATTTATCAATAATAAAATGAGCAATTGATAATATGAAAAGGACACGGCACTACCTTTCGTGTTTTTACTATCATTTGGCATCACCCTTCGTGCTTTTACTCTTTCTGAAAATGACACGGCATCACCCTTCGTGCTTTTACTCTTTCTGAAAATGACACGGCATCACCCTTCGTGCTTTTACACTCACAAATGGGTCGGCAACACCCTTCGTGCTTTTACACTCTTTCTTACCATGACAATGATATTATAAATAATAAAAATGGCACGGCATCACCCTTCGTGCTTTTACACTCTTTCTTACCATGAAAATAATAATATAAATTTGGAAGAGTATTTAAATGCGGGGATATGCACTTATCAATCAATTCAATACCAAAATACCGACTTCACCTTCCGAAATATTCAACAATATTTAAATGAATAATAATTTTACGAATAATGATCAAATAATCAATAATAAACTTAAACAAGAATGTCTTAATTAAATAGGTAATTATTCATAATAAACAAATTTTACCCGCATGCTTTGACTCAACCACAACGCATAAGTACTCATCACCTCACATATACGTTGTACCCGCACATTAAATCACGTAGTAAATAGACAAATAAGTCCTACTCCCTCAAGTCAAGGTTAACTACGATACTTATCTCGCTTTGCAGCCAAATTCAAGAATCCAATACACCTTTGCCTCGCGAATCCGTGTCTGAAATCCTCAAATCTAGTCATAAATAATTCAATATACTCAATACAAATCGTAAAAATTAATTTCATATTAATTTACTAATTTTTCAGATAAAAATCCGAAATTCATCTCAAAAATCGACAGTGGGGCCCACATCTAGAATTTTAGAAAAACTCACGAAATCCGAACACCCGTTCCGATACGAGTTCAACCATATAAAAATTATCAAATTCCGACATCGGATTGACTTTCAAATCTTCATTTTACATTTTTGGAAGATTTTATAAAAATCTGATTTTTCTTCCATAAATTCACGGATTTATGATGTAAATGAGTATGGAATTATAAAATATAATCAATATAGGATAAGGAACACTTACCCTAATATTTTTTCGTGAAAATCGCCCAAAAAGCTCTTACCCGAGCTCAAAATCAAAAATGGTGGAAAATGGGGCGAAATCCCATTTCTAGAATTTAAGTTCTGTTTGCCCAGATTTTTACTCATCGCTATCGCGGGAATTCGTTCGCGATCGCGTAGAATAATTTTTGCCTAGATCCATTTTACTCTTCGCGATCGCGGATAACTCTTTGCGATCGCGAAGCATATTTTGGCTTCCCAGATTATTAACTCTACGCGATCGCGTAAATGGTCATGCGATCGCGGAGAACATTTTCTCAGCCTTACGTGATCGCGTACTGACGTGTGCGATCGCGTAGCACAAATGGTGTGCCCAGCTTCTGCCTTCATTCCTTCTACGCGAACGCGGCTTGTCCCTCGCGTTCGCAGTACACTGGAAGCTAACCTTCCGCGATCGCGTGCCTATCTTTACGAACGCGAAGGGTAAAACTCACGGCTCACAATTTCCTCACCGCGATCGCGGGAATGGCTTCGCGATCGCGAAGCACAATGCACCAGATGACAACTGAAGCTAAAATCTAGATTTTTTTCAAAAAATCAAACATGCACACAAGTCCAAAAACCTCATACGAACTCGCTCGCGCGAACAAAATACCAAAATAACGCATAGAACTACGAATCGGACACCAAATCAAATGAAATTTTCAAGAAAATTTTAAAACTTCTATTTTCACAACCGAACGTCCGAATCATATCAAATCAACTTCGTTTCTCACCAAATTCTACAGACAAGTCATAAATGACATAACAGACTTATGAAAATTTCCAAAACTTGAATCCGACCCCGATATCAATAAAAGTCAATTTTTGGTCAAACTTTAAAATCTTTAATCCTTTAGGCTTCTAGTTTTCGGCAACTGGCAATAACTCAAGGTAGGGACCTCCAAATTAAATTTCGGACATACGCCCAAGTCCCAAATCACGATACGGACCTATCGGAACTGTCAAAATACTGATTCGAGTCCATTTGCTCAAAATGTTGACAAGTCAACTCAGTTGAGTTTTAAGACTCTATTTCACATTTTAATCAATTTTTCACATAAAAACTTTCCGAAAAATTATACAGATTGTGCACGCAAGTCGAGGAATGATAAATGGTACTTTTCAAGATTTTAGAATACAGAATTAATTATTAAATTTAAAGATGATATTTTGGGTTATCACAACAATATATATAGGGGCATCAGAGGACAAATATGAAGCAAACAGGGATGTATATTTCTTAATTGAGTCACTTTCTCAACTAGCACAACCTAACATATCAACTTTGTAATGCATGGATTAAGTAGAGACTGATGAAAATTGTTCCGTTCTGACAATACGGGGGGTTTAATTGAATTCCCTCAATCGAAAAATTATATTGTGCAAATAGAGAAAATAAGGGCAATTTGATATGAAATAATAAGAATGAGATAGTTTCTGAAGCAAACTATTACTTGAACTCTTTTTGATATTGTTAAATGGTACTCATTAAAACTTTTCACTTTGATAATGACTTTTCGATTTCTTTTTTTTTTTCTCAGTCGTATTAAATTCGAAATTAATTTTTAGATATCTATTTAATTATCTAATATTTTGAACACAAATTGGTAGATTATCAAAATCTTGCTTAATTATGATCTCCCAAAGATATTATCTGCACTAATTCTTCCTTTGCTACAAAGGTGGATTTTCCAAATCTAATATTTCTAATCACACATGCTTAATTAGTTGATAATTTTACACAATTTCTCGTCTTATACAGTTTGATAGTACGACATTAGAATAGATTCGAACAAACGTTAATTTTAAGACCATATTTAGCCATACAATTATAGAAAAATCATCCGCGCGCAAATAGGGCCTTAATTGGCAAATTTATTCATTAAGAGTGCAAATAGGAAAAAGAGTATTTGAAGAAAAAAAAAAGTGCACAAAAATAACAAGTATATAAAGTCCATATTAAGAAGGAAAAAAATGCACATTACTTTCATTCCCTTCTCTATGTAACTTAGCTAGATTTTATCATTTGTGTAGTATAAGGTGGTAGAAAGGAAAAAAAAAAACAAAGAAAGTGCAAAACTCAAAATCTAATTTTCCCCCCCTCAAAATCTTCATATGCTAAGAGATGGATTTTGAGAGTTTGAGTTGTGAGAAAACAGATGTTCCAGCACCTTTTTGTGGCCTAAGAATTCTCTTGGTTGATAATGATACAACTTCTTTGTTAAATTTAGCATCAGCACTTGAAGAACATTCTTTCAAAGGTACATTCTTGTCTTTAATTTCTACTCCATATCTGCATTCTTTTTTCTTTTGGATTTTCTTGGTCATAACTGTGATTATAGTAAATGATGTGAATTTCTCAGAAGTGTAACATCATGGTATTAAAGGAAATAGAGATTTTTGGTTCGAGCCTCATTGTCACCTTCGAAAACAAATTCACATGGCAGTATAGAGTTACCGTGTCAAATGATGGTCAATTGGACACCCTTTGCCGGAATATTATAGTGTATATAAGTTAAAGAGTAACTTTATATCATATCTATTAAATCTTAGACACCCTTGAAGCAAAATTCCTGGCATTAAAGTAAATAAAACATTATTAAAAATCCAAAATCTTTTATGTCTCAAACAAGAGTACTTAAAATAAATCAGGTGATTTATCGAACTTGGTCGCATAAATCCCTCTCCTTTGTGGTATCCTTGTAGGCTAGTATTATACTGGTCACGTTTCAAGTTAAACTAATCTTGAAAATAATCTTAATACTTCAGTCGGTTGACTACTTCAACTTTTAGCTTATTGGCGAGACTCTGATTTCCCACCTTGTCATCCCCTTCCCCTATAATTAAACGGACAAAATTCATAAAGAATTAATGATTAAGCAATTAAATATTGACTTGAGCTTGTCACTTTAATGCGATAACAGTAAAACATAGTATAATTACACAGGTAAAAATGTACTCGCACCCGATGTTTACATAAAGAAAAAGGAAGGTTTTATCGTGAAGATGTTATACCTACATGTATAACTTCCTGCAAATTTTTCTGAGTTTGATTTTTGTTTACAGTAACAACTATTGAAAAAGCAACTGTAGCTCTGTCCATTCTCCGTGAACGGATCGATCAATTTGACCTTGTCATGGTGGATGTCAAAATGCCAGAAATGGAATGCTTTGAGTTCATCAACTGCACTCAACTCATCAAAGACATACCTATTATTTGTAAGATCAAATTCTCAATTAATATAGGACTATTGAAAAGTGTCAAAATGTTTAATTTTGGATACCTTATCTGGAATTTGGTTCTAATTTTTCATCTTTTTTTAGTAATGTCATCAAATGTGAAGAGGGAAATGGTGGAACAAGCAGTGGCACAAGGGGTATGTTTCTTTTTTATGAAACCAATTTCAGCAAAGAAACTCAAGAATATATGGCAACATGTGTATAGGCACCAAAAGAAAGCAAGTCAAAAAATTAGAAAACAATAAGGCTAATATTCAAGTTGAAGTAATGGACAATACATCTTTTGCTAATAAGAAAATGCAAGACACAAAGGGAAAAAGCATAGTGAATTCAGCAGAAGGGTCTAAGGGAAAGAGAATTACTGATGAGGAGACACAAGTTAAAAATGGTGATTCAGAAGAAGAGGATCGTTCTTTGGTTTCGGAAAAAGCTATGGAGAAAAGGCGACGCCTGCATTGGACACGTGATCTTGAAAAGAAATTCAAGAAGGCCGTTCGCAAGTTAGGACAAAAAGGTATGTTTATAAAAACTTAGTTGTATCATAGCATAAACCAGGAAAAAAAGCAAGAATTGGTGAAAGACAGTAGAAAATGAGGTAATCTTTAGCAAAGCATTTTTTTCTAAATGTACTTTTTTTTACTATTTGAATCCTCATATTTTGTCTTACCCTGTCGATTTAGCCCGTCCTAAACTTATTAAGGAGATGATGGATGTTCCAAATTTGACTCAGAAACAGATCGCGAACCATCTGCAGGTATCTGAATTTGCTTTGAATTTTTTCATTACTTCTCTGCATATTTTCTTAATAACTGTTATTGAACTGTTCGATTTATTTTAAAAAAAAGTGTCTTGTATGCTACACGGACCACCATAATTCTTCAATATCGAACATATCTGAAACGGTCAAAATTGAAGAGAAGTTTAGGAGAACACAATAAATGTTTCTTTCAACTTTCTCATAGCAAACTATTAGAAATAGTCGACTTTTAGTTCATGTCTTGAAATTGGTAGATGAGTTTTCTAGTTGTGACATTAATAGTCGACGTTTTCCTTATTTCTTTATGTTTTTGGTCCTCTGCAGAAATACAGAGTCCAAAAACAACAAGCTCCACATGTTCAACCAGCTACATCTTCTATAGTTAACCAATCTAAAATCATGTCGCGAACACCACCCCCTCTGGTTCCAATAATTCATTCTCAATATGGAGTTAATGAGGAGTTAAGTAGAATTGGGCACTTTAATTCTGTGTCCCAGAGTTTGTCTTTCCCTTTGAACACATCAACATTGTTCCATTCTAGAACCAATATGTTTAATCACTATCCAGACAACGGGCATCATTTCAATATACTGAATTCAAATGAGTTCGCGGTGAACTTCAACGAACCACTTCAAGAAACATACTTACCTCAACCACCTGAACTTCCATCTTTAGTTTCACCAATTCCAAACGATTATGTCTTGTCAGAGTTGAATGACTGGAACGATTATTTAGTTTCACCTGAAAATCTCAATGGCGAAATGATAGAAAATCAGATTGACAGTTACTACAGTTGGCTAGAGAAAGCTCCTCTTAGTAGCAGCTCAACTCAAGATAATGTCCTCACAAGGTCAGTTTATATATAACAAAAAGCAATAAATCCTTAGCTTATTGTTTTTTCCCTGTCATTTTGTATAACTGTAGATTATTGAACAGCAGGAGTCAGAATCCTTGATATGGACAAATTGCATTTCTGGAGTAACGGGAGAAGATGTTTGGTAGTTTTTCATTGATCAATTGTGATTGGATTATTTAGAACTCAAACAATCTTTATCTTCTGTTTTCTGAACTTGTAACATTTGTGCGAGTATGTTCCATTATGTTTTTTAATCATAAGACTATTTAGACAATTTCTTCTGTTTATGTTATTGTAACAGTCCAATCCACTAGTGATATTGTCCGCTTTGGACCTCAAAGTGGACAATATCACTAGTGGGCTAGGTTGTTACATATGGTATCAGAGTCACTCCGCGTGCAACCTTGAAAGGTGGTGGGGCAAACTCTGAGTCCCAAAGGGGTGTATGTGACACCTTAGGCGAATCTCACGTCGACAAAACACGGAAGATATGTTAAGTATATTAGAGGAACTTAGTCTAGAAAAACAAACAATTATAACAAAAATCATCACAATAAAAAGGAAAGACAAGGGACAATGTCGAAAGTAAACACAATTATACACTTCAACAGTATTTTAATACAAAAAATTCGTGCACTTATGCTTCTTCCTTAGAACTATCGTCAATATTCTTAATAGGACCTTTAAACCAATGTCTACCACTGAATATCCACGTCAAAACGACTAGAATGAGAACGCCCCCAACTGCAACAGGAGTGTAATTAAGAGTTTGATCTGTAATAGGATAGGAAACAGGCAAAGAGAAGAGTACAGAGATGAGTGCAACCCACAATACAGATATCCAACCTACAATAGTCCCATATCTTCCCAAGTTAAAACGCCCTCGAGTGAAGGTTTTTCGACCTAGAGTTAACCTTAACAAGATAGGTATAGCATAAGCAACATAAAGCCCAATTGTTGCTATTGATGTCATTGCTTGAAATGCTACCAAACTTCCAAGTGACTTCAATTTGAACACAAAGACACACACAAAAAAAAAAAATCTATTAGCAAGGGAGTGAATAAGAAAAACCTATATACAAAAAGGCAATCTGGTGCATTAAGCTCCCGCTATATGCGGGATCTGGGGAAGGGTCGGACCACAAAGATTTGTAGTACGCAGCCTTACCCTGCATTTCTGCAAGAGGCTATTTCCACGGTTTGAACCAGTGACTTCCTGATCACATAGCAGCAACTTTACCAGTTACGCCAAGGCTTCCCCTTCAAGAAAAACCTATATGAATCAAAAATAATATATGTACATACCGTTAATGCCATGCAAAATGCTACAAGGGCTGACATCCAAACTGCATTTATAGGAACGTCCTGTTTGTTCACTTTCTGCAACTGCGATGAAAATGGCATTGCTCCATCTCTTGAGAATGCATAAGCAATCCTGCGAAAAAAAGACGCGAGTGTAAAACCTCATTGGCTCTAGGCAGGGGCGGAGGGAGAGTCGGAGAATGTTAGCTATGGGTTCAGACGAACCCAACAATTTTTGCTTATATAACCCTGTATTTGTATTAAAAAAACTCATTTAGTACGTATAAATACTTAATTGCGAGCCTAGTAACTAAGACGAGCTATGTATTCGGTTGCAAGTTCAAAACTCATAAACTTCAAATTCTAGCTGTGCCTCTGAACTCTAGTACAGAATTTGAGTTAAACAAGGAGAATGATGACTGACCAAAGTATATTTACCTTGAGTTGCTAGTTAGTGAGCTCATACCAGCAAAGAATACAGCAAGACCAGCAATACCTAAGCAAATTACAGCACCAACACCACTGCCATATCTACTCATAAATGCCTCATAATAGATTTGAGCAATGGCATGACCACCCGAATCGTTGTTTTCGCTCAAAAGATTCGGAATATCTCTGACTGCAAAGGTTATACCAAGTACATAAGCCCATCCTGCAATAACTGCTATGCCGATTGCACTTACAATACCTTGTGGCCCGTTCTTATCTGCGTCTTTAGTCTCCTCCGACTGTAAAAATATTTCGTTAAATACAAAATAAGATAAAAATTCAAGAGAATCGCTTTGAAGCGGAACTCACCATATAGGCGGAAGCATCATAACCTGTCAATGTATACTGGCTCATAAGAAGTCCGAGGACAAAAATGTAGAAATAATTGTTGATACCGTCCTGATTCTCAGTATTGAAGTTTGTAAACACAAACTCAGGACTGGCTCTTTCAGTTGCAACCGCAGGAATTACAATCATAAGAAAACAACCTGTAATCGTTAACTTAATTAGAGTCGAGTAAAGGAAGAGCTACTGTAAATTGTGAGGTTTGAACAGAGAAAGTAGGATTTCAATTGCATACCGAAGAAATTGCAGGCAGCGCCTATTTGTCCAAGGAATGACAACATTGAGATAGGAAGACTATTTAATATAGCATGTATTAGTAGAAATACGCCGTGGAGAGCCATAACTATATATTTAGAGATCATATATCCGCCTCCATTTAATCCACCAGTGCTAAGGAGAATCATCACCTGAACTAACTGTGCCAGTGAAAAATCTATACTTGTTGTGAGAGCCCACTGCAATAAGATTTTTCGTCGTTGATTAGTGTTGTTTTGCGTAGATACAATTGTGAATGTTAATACGAGTAAGTTTTCGCGATACCTGACCAACAATGTTGAACCTGCGAAATGAGAATGAAAAGAAATTTTAGTGAGCAGAAAGCAATATGAAGATGTAAAGCTTAAGAACATCATTTTTATCAAAATATAACTTAGGACTGATGAATGTCGCGAAACATATATAAGCAGATATTTTTGACTATATACAACAACAACAATCCAGTGTAATCCCACAAGTGGGGTCTGGGAAGGGTAAGATGTACGCAACCTTTGACTATATGTACATATATTATGCTAGAAGTTCTGTTTTTCCTTATTTTTCGTGTATCACTCTGTCTCGGCCACTACATCGTCTGAGTATGAAATCAGCTCCAAAACAATGTAATGTCTAAAGGTCCTGACCTAAACTGCAACTTGCTCTCCACATTAAATTAAAGTCATATAACCTCTTCTTTATAAACCAGACAGTTTAAAATTGAGAAATCAAATGTTGAATCGCGTGGAAAGTCTTATTGCTTTTTTTGGTTTAACTATGGTGTTCGGAATACTGGCCTAATTAATCCAGATTCACGCCGCATAGAGCCCATTTAAGAGCGAAACACTTACTACCAGGAATTTCTCCATTCTCAGGGCTCGAACCCTAAATGTCTGATTAAACATTGAGTGGTCTCATCCATCCCACAATATTCCTTGGTGGTTGTGGAAATTCTTTTTGATAATGGCTGACAATGGACTCAATGTCAGCTTACTCTAATAGCATATAACTATTCGTATAACGACTGTTAGAGATATTACACTTTTGATAAGGGTCGGACCATAAGGGTCTATTGTACGCAGCCTTATTTTGCATTTCTGCAAGAGGCTGTTTCCACGGCTCGATCCCGTGACCTCCTGGTCACATGGCAGCAGCTTTACCAGTTACGCAAAGGCTCCCCTTCCGAAAGTAATATGATTATTAGCATTAGAAAATAGGACAAAATGGTATGAAACAGTGTAAAACTAAACAAGCAAAAGAAGAAATTACCAGCCAGTGATCCAGGAAGCAAAAGGACCCCAGTTTGGACCAGCAAGTTTAGCACTCCAATAATAAAGACCTCCAGAAGTTGGATAAGAAGAACAAATCTCAGCCATTGATAATCCAATTAACATAGTAAATGTACCAGCAATTGGCCATCCATAAATGTATGATATTGGTCCACCAAAATTCAACCCAGTGCCCATTAGTCCGTTTAAACCAGTAAGTACTGATACAATTGAGAATGATATAGCGAAGTTCGATATCATCCTGTAATTCAATAACAACAATAATAACAATAACGCGGTAAGAATATATCAGGTAAATAATCAATAATAACAACAACTAGGGAAAATGGTCAAATTTCCCCCTGTACGATTTGGATCTTTTTCCCCAATCACTATTATACCTTAATCTCAAGCAAGTGGCTATATGAATTCCACAGTGACCATTTCATCTATCCATTTAAGCTCATTTCACACCAACATAGTACAAAATAAAACTAGAAATGAAAAGTACTACTAGATGTATTTCTCTATTTGACAACTCCTAGAAAACGTAGGACCTAAAGTAAATATGCTAACATAACTATTTCCAATTAATTGATATCACCTATATCGCGTGAGCAATCAAGAAAGTAAAATTAAAAGGCAGGGTACTCACGAAAGATCGCGTTTGAGTTCTTGTTTGTATCCTAGCTCGTGGAGACGAGCATGGTCCGAATCAACTACACCATGAGCATGGTCCGGATCAACTATTCCATCGGCTACTCGAAGACTCATAGTTTTTACACTGCAATATGATCCACACACTATATGTAAAGTTGTCAACTATAAAATGAAACACTAAATTTCTATCCCTCAAGTTCAGGAATAAGAAGAATGAATATGTGTAGCCTTTTGCCTGGCTTTCCAAAGATATATAAAGATGCAGAAAGATTCACACTAAACATGGAAAAATCAGAATTCTGCACATATTTAATCAGTGACATGACTTGGTCAGTGATAAATTGTACCTATTATAGTATACATGTTCTTATCATGACATTGATGCTTACGCATACAAGTACAGCCAATATAGCCAAAGGTAAAAGAAAATGAAAAATAAAAAAAATAAATCACCTCTTTTTTTTTCTCACCCGATATCCGGTATAAGTAGCAGGGCTGAAATTCAACCTCACCTTTTTTTTTGGCCAGATTTTGGCGCCTCATAGTTTATTAGACGTGCAGAAAAACAATATTATTGTCCTAGTATTTATTGTCAACTTCCTCTTTTCTCAAGTGAACTGTCATAATTTTTTATTTTGAATTATATTACTCCAAAATTGTATTAAACTTTTAAAAGAAACTTGATGTCTCTACACTCTTGAGTATCTGATAAAAATTCTATTAACAAAAAATATCTCTGGCTACCATATTGATCCTAAAAAAAAGATGTACAAACATTCAAAGAGTTACTTTTGTCTCAATGATTAAACTTTTTTTTTTGGTCAACCGACGAAATTACTTTATATTAAAAACATTTTACATTACATGGAGCGTTGGGCCTGTTGCGTCCTGTATTACAAAAAGAGGATATGGATAAGTTGTTTTGTTGATTCCTATCAGGTTCCACACTAGTACATTTTGTAGATGGTGCATCTAAACAAAAAGAAATAGGAGCGATCTGTGCAGAAGGCCAGAAGCAGTAGTTTTTCTTGAGTAGATAGTTCCTTGTTGGTCTGCACTCAGTTCGTTTTGCAAAAACGTTGGCGGTTGGACGAGTAGATGCAGGTTCTCTCCCAAAGCCATAGTTGCTCCATATTTGGCTATGCTATCAGCAATGCTGTTCTACCCCCTGTATGTATGCAGAATATCAATGATTTTGTAAATACTGTTAGTTGTGAGACGTGAAGTCAGAGTTATATCATCAACAAAGAGTAAGTGTGAGATAGATGGTCCTCGACGTGACAGTTGGACTGGAATCCATTGTTTATAATCAACGGCTGTGCGAATTTGGCGGGATAATCGTTCCATGCATAAAATGAATATGTATGGTGAGAGTGGATCACCTTGATGGAGTCCCTTTGTATGTATGAAGTATTCTGTAGGTTGAGAAGTTGAAGTAATGTAATGTATCTTTAATGAACGCCCACTCCATTTGATCAAAGGCTTTTTCAAGATCTAATTTTAAAAGAAAGTTTGCTTGTTTGCCTTTTTCATGTCTGAAATAATGAAGAATATCCTGCACTATAATTGCGTTATCCGAAGCACGATGTTGTTTTAGAAAAGCTGATTGTTCAGGACTAATAAGCTTTTGTAATAGAGGCTTGATTCTATTAACTATAATTTTTGTTACGAGTTTATAAAGACTATTACAAAGGCTATTGGGTCTATATTGGGTAATTGAAGATGGATGCGAAATTTTTGGAATGAGACACATAAACGTTTTGTTTACTATTGGAGGTATGTATTTGTTAGTGAAAACTTCATGGCAAAAGAATGTGACAGAAGGTGCAATATACGACCAATACTTTTGGTAGAAATAGTCACCAGGCCTTGCTGCCTTTAATGGTTTAAATGAATTTATTGCGGCTTGGATTTCACCCGTAGTTAGTGTGGTATTTAGTGTATGATGATCATTTGTATTTAGGATGTTGTAAGGTGCTACTTAATAGGAATTGGATGAGTAAGCGTGAGTAGTTATAAAGAGAGTTTGATAATAAGATTCAACCATTTCCTTTATTTTGGATTGTTCAAAAATCATGTTACCCCCTGAAACTTTTAGGGCAGTTATGTGGTTTCCCCTTCTTCTTTGGATGGTTGTTAAGTGGAAGAATTTAGTGTTCGCGTCCCCATCTTGCAACCAATTAAAACGTGATTTTAATTTTCAGAAGTCCTCTTCGAGTCGCAATATTTCATTGTATTTGTTTATAAGGTCAATTTCTAAATAGTATAAAAAGGTGCTCGCATGGTACCTAGGAGACATTTGTATACCTTTTAGTCTAGCTAAAAGTGTCTTTTTTTCTTTAAAAGTGTTACCAAAAGAGGATTTGTTCCATTCCTGGACATCTACAGTAAAATCCTCAATGGCGTTAAAGATATGCTTATTAGGGGTCCACTTATTTTGAATTAGGTAATTGAATTGAGGGTGTGATGTCCAAATTGTTTCAAATCTGAAGATAAAGTCTTACTTGTTTATTGCCAACTAATCTAGCTCTTAAAATAATACGTGATAAATTAGAAGAGTTGAGGTTTAACAAAAGTCCCAAAAAGGTTTTGGAAGCGGCCGAAATACTCAAATTAATCTTGATATATATAATTAATTTTTCAAATGGTTATTCAACTTACAATTTTATGTACAAAAATCTCAAATTAACTTTTGTCACTTTAAATTAACTGAATTTATAATTGGTTACTCGAAAAAATAAATCTGGTCGGAAAAAAACATTAAATTTAATTAGAAAGCCAAGTAGGCATGCCAAATCAGCTAAAATACCAAGGTAACTTTCCACATTAACAAGCATAGTCAAATATTTATCCATTTAACAACCCCTAAAAAGACCTAAAACTGTGAAACATAACGAGTGATTTTACACGTCAAGAAAAATTAAAACAATAAAACATTTAAACACATGAAGATATAAGATAAGAAGTAATGTCTCATTCTAATGAGAAAATTGAGAATAAAAATTAACAAAATTCACATCTATAATAGATTTTGTGCCCCAAATCATTTAATTTTATGTATGAAATTAAGCAGGCGATGCTAATTTTTTCTAAAAATGTCTTTTTTCTAAAATGTGGTCAACCAGAAATTTTTATGTTTATGATTCTCTATCCATTGTTTTATAAAATTCTCCAGTTTTTCATTCTCATATGTGACCGAAAAGTACCAACAGAGTGGCAGTGGCGAAGTCAAGAAATTCAATAAGGGTATTCAAATTTTGAACACCATTTGCTAGTGGGTAATGCAAGGGTGTTCAAAGTCTATTTTTAATCAATAACAAGTAATATTTTACTTTATACGTAGTATAATTTTTCGGCAAAGGGTGATCATTTGACCACCCTTGGGGCCAACATAGTTTCGCCCCTGCAGATCGGGACGAAGTGATTCATCATGCTCAAAGAGCAGATCGCTCGTTACGAACAGTTTATATATAGGTCATCAAAAGTCTCGTGACTTCGTTTGGAGGCTTGCATAACAAAGTTTGTTACATTAGCTCTAAAAAAGGTCACACTCTCTTATCCAAAGCAAAAACTAAAGAAAATGTGGGAGTAGTGATTCATCAAAATGATCTATTCACTTAGAGTAAATTTAAATAGTAGTACCCTATATAGCACGTAGTTGTTAGAATCTCCTCTATGAGAAGAAAAATGATTGACAAATTTAATTATATTTGAAAAGGTCATTCGCATCTGGTAATGTTATACTATCCCGAAAGTGGGAGGGGATTTATGCCTCAAGTGTTGTATGTAGATATAGGATTTTTGAGAATGTGCCTTAACGATCAATGGTTGACGATCACTCTAATTTGTGGTTACTTTTGTTAGAATAGGCAATAATGAAATCATTATTTTAGTAAATGATGCGGAAAAGGATAATGACATTGATCCACAAGAATCTCAATACACTCTTGAAAAGGCAAAAGCTAATGTGAAAAAGACGAAAGGAAAGAGACAAAAAATCGAGGCACGCGTAGCTCTCCGACAAGCTAGAACATTTATGACGCCCAACTATGCCTTATAAAAAAGACTAAGCGATTGTTGCAAATATAATCCGATTAATAAGTCCTGAGTCGAATCCCACGGTAAATTAACCTACTAATCACAACTACTAGACTAGCACCAATTCATGCAATATATCTTCAGAAATATTAAATAACAAATTGGATGTTTACTAACTAAAGATCAAGTAATGAAAATGCAGTAATTAATAACTAACTACGAACAGGTTGTAGACAAGATTTGGAATGATCTAAGGTTCTGATTTCTGCTATTGTCAGAATCCTTTGCGCTACGTTTCCTATAAATTTGTCTAAGTTTTCTCTACCGACCATGAGCGTTCTAAGTGTCATAATTCTCTCCCGAGTAACTACCACAATTTACTAGACATATTCTTCCGAACTACGCTAGCTGGCACTAAGTTACGGCTCACTCGGATCGCACCAAGGTTTCGTTATTTCTAATCCCACCTTTAAACCCACCGTATTGATCCCTCATATACGTTAGGAGTGATGTTGTACTCTCTAAATATGCACTCTCTTCCGAGTAATACACACTAAATAGGCACAGTTGTTGCGACCAAACACACTCACGCAAGTATACGCGGTCGTCAAGTAATAAAGTGACTAA